TTTTTTTTTTTTTTTTTTGTGCGATGAGATAATTTTACCACCCTTCTTTCTCCTCCCCCTTTTTCTCTCTGTCTTCTTTCTTCGATGTTGCATACGTTGGTCAAAGACGCGAAATTTCTACAATTTTGAATTATCGTCGACAACGTTTCCACAATGTTATCGAATGGTGAAAGAAAAAGTCAATCGTTGGAAAGACATTTTAGTAATCGAGAAGATAGGAAGGTATCGGGTCTTTTCAACGTTACTGCTGATTGTTGCGAATTATTCAATTTATTCTTCTCCAGCAGTTTCTGCTCCTCTGAATTTTTTTTCTGGTGAACGATGTTATCTGGTCGCATGGTTTTTACAAGGAACATTAGCAATTATATTTTCGTTTACGATTTCGAAGAAGAGAGGACACAGACACTTTCTGGAGTTCGTGATCCTCGAAGAAATAAATTTGGTTCACCGTAGAAGCAATAATGAGATACGTAGGAAGCAATAGTGCAACTAAAAATTTCTGCGAAAGGCATGCAACTTTGTCGATAAGTGCATCGGATGGGCATAGCGTGAGAGAATCCGGGCATGTTACACGAGAATTCACGGTCACATAGTTTCACAAAGGGACGTCTATGTTCGTCCTTGACCATGCGAAAATTAACTTCGATTACATACTTCGAATGCCGGATCGATTCATAGTTCATTACGCCAATGTTGTCGAAACTACGCGGGATCAAATGAGGAGATAAAAATTTTTCTTTTTTCTCTCTCTCTCTCTTTTACTTGATTTAATTAGCCAAAGTCAAAACATCGTTGTAATAGCGAATTACGATTTTTATAGATCAACGTCCGGGTTTAAGTTTAGATGATTTGATCGTAAAAATATTCTGTTTACTACGATACGGTAAAATTGGTTGCTGTGCTTGTGTTGAATGCACTTTACTCTATCACTAGCAGAAACGCTGTACATCGATATCTTAATTAAGCGATTCGAATGTAGCCATAATATAAACTTGATGGTTGTAATTATTGGATCATATTCGCGCATCTTGCGCGAAGATGATAGTCTAAGAATGATGCAATTATTGTTTAATTGCTGAAGAATTTATAGAGTGGAATTTTACGACATCGTGCAAAAGTGTTACCCGAGCGTGGTTGCGTTACAAACGCAGACACCAGAGATAAACGATGATCCACGGAATAAAAAAAAAGCGAACAGAAACGTTTTTGCTAATCTTGGCGACGGTCAATGTACAGTTAGATATTAGATTCATGTTTACTCGATTATCGAAGGCGCTTAAATATCGTCAACGGAGATTCTGTTATTCGCATGGATGCATCATTCCAAAGATCGAAGATTGCGCATTTTTATTGTTCCATTGTAGCTTCGTTACAGATCATTGAGGAAACAAGCGTGGCTGTTGTATGTATTTATAACACGTCGTCTCATAAAATTAATAACCGCTATATATCGAGAACTCGTTAATTAATAAGGACAGCGAGACGTGACGAAGCGAACGTCTCACGGAGCCGGGGAAATTACCACGGTCAATGTTCATCGGTTCACGTGCTAAGTGATACAACTCACGCAATATGGAGAAACGATTGCGAGAGTTGAATTGAAAAAAAGTACAAGTGATTAGTCATGTGCAAATTGATTAGATATCTTTTTCTTCCTTGGTACTTTTCGTCTAGTATCGCTTTTCTTTTTTTCTCTTCTTCTTCTTCTAGCTGAAGAGATATAATAGAAACGACAAAACACGAAAAAGGATGAAACTATCTATATGTTGATTGGCGATAAGTTTTCTTTCTAAATTAATTTTTATTCGCTTCAGTGTTTCCTTTATTTCGTTTCAATTCATTCGATAGCAATTCCAATTTGAATGAAATGATCGAGCAAAAAAAAAAAAAAAGGTAGAAAGAAGCGTGTACAAATGATTACAAGCAATATCGACCAGTTTTAAAGGCGATATATGTACAGTTGATTGCGTGTGGAAAGTATTTCGCGCACTATGTCCGCGTGATTGAAGGAAACTCTGATGCATTGAATTTTCCACGACTTTATACAATTTTCAAATTATTTATAAACAATGTAAAATAATCCACGTAAAGTGAAAGTCACACCGGAAACTTATTTGCGAGGGGAACGGGAGTGCGGCTTTAAGAAACGTGCGACAGATCTCGATAAGCCAGTCAGCACGTGGTGAACCGGCTTGAGTAGGGTTCTGTGACACGTGACAGACTCAACCCCCAACCATGAAATGTTGCAAAATTGCTACATCTGTACTCGTGTCACCCCTTCATCAATGCGTCACAACTGTGTGAAACTGACCGCTGGTCAACATACTGTCACCGTCGTTGATTATTATTTGCTTGTACTCGTATGGAGGAAACCGGAAACAGGATTTTTAATCGGCTCGTGTTTCACCGACACGGTGAAAATCGATAATACTTAAGAAGCTCGACAAACGTAGCCCATACGTGTATGCGTTATTATGTTTTAACGAAAGCCATTCGGCAATAAACATACTCGATTCTTCATGTTGAAAGGAACAAGGGAAGAAGATTAACGTATTTGTAAATTTTGCTGTACGTCCAAAAGTATTAATTGCCGCGTGCTAGACTAGATTAGTAATCGTAGCTAGTTAACGATAGACAATTACAGGTTAGAGATCATTATCCGCGAAACGATGGAAATCGATGAGTACCGGTGTCGAGTTCGTTTACTCGATTCTCCGTAGCATTGCCTGGCACATCGGGCTCCAGTTAATGGAAGGAGTCAATCAATCCTAGTCGTTGCGAAACTAGTTAACCAAGTAACGCCAATTATCTCATTTCTCTCTGCGTCGAGTTTATTTCACCTGGTGATCCCGAACGATCAAAGACTTTGTTGATTAATTGCGTGGCAAACGCCTATCAGCCATACACTCCAGAATTAATTTCAGTTCGTGCGAGAGCACTTTTCGTTTCCCGATGATACGAATTCCGAACGTCTTCAATCCCTTTTTCAATGGATTCGGGCAAAATTCGTCCTTGCATGAACTTCACAAGACAATTGAATTAAAAGCTAACTAGTTAACCAATTTGAATAATCAAAAAAATTATTTTAAATCATCTTTATTTTGTAAAATTGTAAGCAAATGAATTATCAAGCAAATATCAAAGCTCGATTAATCACGTTGGAGAACTGCAGATTCGTTATCGCTTGACAAACAGCTGAACTAGTCGGACAATTTGTCGAATAAATCATCGAAATTCGGTGAACAAAACAACGGTGGCAAAGATCTGCGTGGACAAGTGGTTACATACACATGTACTTATATATATATGGACGAATGAAATTACAATCGCGATTATTTTTCCCGCCACAACTCACCCGTGACATCTCGAGCAGTTTGTCGTGGCAAAAAGACGACTGGTCTTTATCGGCGATAACTAGAATGAGAGTGTGAAGTTCGATGACGGAGGATGGCTGGCGGCGATACGGTTTCCTCAGGGCCTGTTAACGCTCGCTGTGCCTCGATTACGCGTTCGACGCGGGCGAACGGCTGGCCATTACTGAGGCTCTGCCGACGGCGACCTCGACGCCCCGATATCGGTAACGGCGTCGGCGTCGGCGTCGACGTCGTGATGCTCCTACCACCCGATCTCGATCGCGTGTTTAACCCTGTCCCACGCGAACTCTCCCGGTTCTAGCTCGATTCACTCTGGAGACCGGGGGAGGTAGTTGTTCGCGTCAAATACCGTTATTCCACTAGCGTCGTAAACTTAGTTTCGCCGATTAACCACGCCAGTTAACGGCTTTCGTGATAACATATTCACCACCGTATATCGCGTAATTTACGAGAGAGTCGAGTTTCCAAGTTGCGGGGAAATCGTGGATTTATCGCGGCTGTATTTAAGACAGTGCGATTTTCTCGATAGCTTTCTCGTTTTGTTCTCATATATGGTAGTTATTGAAAATGCAGTTAAATTTAAATTAGATTCCTAAGTCCTTTAGGTTTAGGATAAAAGTGCATTCGGAGAAGCTCATTGTACAATTCTCGAGACAAATGTCTTTCTTGCAATTACACACAGCAAGGCGGAGGAGTTCCGGTTTGCAGGACTTGTTTCGTGCACGCAGAGAAAAAATATTTCTGCCGATTCATTATTCGTCGAACTCTTGTCGTCGGCGGGAATCTGTGGCTGGTACCCTTCGACTAATGGCTTCTCGATCTTCGTATACCTTCGTGGAAAACTTTTATCCGACTCAATCATTCCGGTCACGAGATTTTAAGTTTTACCAACCAAACCCGTGACAAGCCAGAGATTTATGATCAACAGTGCCATCGAACCGGAAGCAATTATCCGAGACAGCGATTGTTCCTCTAGAAAGAATTGTTTGTAATTTTACGGTAATAAAACGCGTGCCAGACGGTTTCAATAAAACAGGATATATTATATATTTGATAAGAAAAATTGTATTAAAATACATTCGTAAATGCCATTAGGAATTCTTGTTACGCAGAATTATAATAAATTAAAGTTTGTTCTGTACGGTTTTCCATAAACGTAGACTCGATAATGAAATCCTCGGGAGTATTTCGACCTGAACTTAATCTTAATAAAATTATATCCTATCCCACCGGATGTCACCCACATGGCTCCGTTGTTCTCCTTAGATAGGGAATCTACTCCTATGCAAGTGATCGTCACATTGGCCGGTCCATACTCTGCTTCTACTTCCTGCAGTCAAATAAATCACTATTAAAAGTCTCGTTAAAACGGTCTTATATTTTTCTGCTCACATTCATTTTAGTTTCTTCTAGATGCTAAAATGCTTAGGCATTATACTTATCGAAAGGAAGACAGAAATAAAACAATGAAATAGCGCGAGAAAGGGGCACGCGAAATCTGACCGGTGATAATCGCGAAATGTAAACTAAAAATAAAATGTTGCGAATTAAAGTAAAGAACATTCTATCTACAGTATTTCGAAGTGGTTCCTCTTAATTTGCACTTTGACAAGAGTGTCAATGATGCTTGCCATGTCATAGATATCTCGGTCATCGACATTACCTTGAATTACATGTGGTACGTACTTGATATGTACCGATTCTGTACGATCTTCTGACATCGTAGTCCCAGATAAGTTGCTCGTCTGTCCTTCGTTGACACTGCTCGTTTCTGTAGGCAACGGCGACCAGTAGGTTGAACAAGAAAAAATACACGATAGATTTCATTTTCTCGTTATCGAATTTCAGTCAGTTCCAAGAGACACTGGATAGACTGTTTGATTAATACGATGGCAATTAATACGTTGTTGATTGCTTGAATTGTACACCACAATAACAGATGGGAAACACCGTATTTATTATTGAACAGACCAATGCTGCGAATAGAACTAACAACCGGACTGTATTAATAGCCGGCCATCGATACACCGAAAGTTCCCCCTTCTGCTTACAATGTGTATTTACTCTCATTGCATTCTGCCGGACGCTTCTTCAGCATGGCAGAGATTAGATATAACTCGCAGTATCTTATATCGTGTTCCTCGCTTTTGTTGTTTCGACAGAAATCGGCTGGCTACTACCAGCACGATTCAATTATAATATAATTATAATTGTATATAATTATAGTAACTTTTTTGTTTGTTTTCTTTTCACTGAAGTAATTTAGTAAAAAGATTATTGAGTTTGTTAGAAGTATTTACGTATATTCATATGAAAATTAAAGCAATTGCAACGAGACTGCGCGCTTTAAGTAGTATAACTTTACGATAGTCGGACGTCTCGGCGAATTTCGCGTTGATTCACCAGAATGGACACAAAATGATTAATTTCTAATTTTACAGCGTGAATAAAGTTTCAAAATTTTTTCTTTGTGATTTGATTTCTCTGATACAAGTTTACTTTAGGTTACTCTAATGTTAACATTGGCGTTTAATTTTCTGAAATGCTAACTTTTTAATGTTCGATTGATGCCAGTACAATTGGACTACTTGTTACTATTATTAATCAACTCGTTTCATTGTATAAATTTTAGTAAACCTGTGTCAGTAGATATCGCTCGAGCAAAGGATCATAAAAATCACGCTGATGCGTTAAATCGGTTCTCGCCACTAGGAAATTGGCGATAAGGCGTAAGTGGTGGCAGTAAACGGACTATTGGTATGCGAGTCAGGTGAATCTGTTCTCACAGTACCGTGCCTGGAACCACGTGGTACGCGTTACTTAAGAAAACGACTTTCCTTCTTGTTATTCCTAGTCGAATCAAGTGAAGAGTTTTCAAGCTTCCTTTTATCATATCTTCTGTCCGTAACGCGATCACAGAGAAATACTTTTTAACGTTCGTCGAAGTCGATAATTGGTTAAACGATTTTGAAGTCTTCTTTCAGAGTAAATACACATCTTTCATTTCTATTTCTTCGAAATCGGGAAAGTTTACGTATACAATGCCAAATACGTATATCGGGCAATCATAAATAAAAAAATAACCGGCGCCGGAATCAAAATCGTATGACGAACTCTCAAGATATTTTATACGGACAGCCGTGTATAAAATTGATAAATCGGCGATTTTACTGCAAAAATAAAAGAGAGAGGATTACGACAGTCGCGTGAAGTCTGTCCCTGGATAACAGGCGTTGACGATAAAATAAAAATTTGACTTTCGAAAAATAAACCTGTCACGAATCGTATCTTTTTTCGGCAGAGTTCTTCCTGTTTTTTAATATCTGAAAATTATTTTCCATCTCCGGTTTTCCGCGAAATTTCGGAGATTAGATATTCACGAGAAAGCTGAAAAATTATTAAATTTCTTGCACATGCAAGACAGAATCAA